GACAAAATGACAATTCAGTAGATAGCTATCCTTCTACACCTCCCATTTATAGGTTTGTTCACCAATCAGCGACATGATAATTGACTAAGTATCTGTCTTTTCCAACAGACTGCATCATCATTAAATGAAAGATTTAGCAGTTCAATACCTCAACAAGGGAGAGGAAGTGGAAGGAGGAGAAAAAACAAAAATCAAAAAAGTAGTGTTGGATTATTCAGCTCTGGCAATGAGCGTACAGTTGTAATGATGTAATGCCACATTGTGTGGTTGTGTAAGCATCTTCAGGTCTTCTGGTTATTAGCAAAAGTTAGTTACACAATAAATTTTAAATAAGTGATTTCTGAAGACACTAGATAATACAGTGATAGGCTATTCTGGCAAATATCAAAGGAAATAGAATGACATTCAATACAACGTTTCTTGGTGCATCATATTTCATTACCTAAGTGTCTGGGTACAACAAATCCACAACCACAATATCACACTTTTCCAGTATAATTATGTAAGTAAATTGTCCTGCCAACTTTGAACACTAAGTTGTTTTGTAAACTGTTTTTAAAAACATCAAATTCTAGTAGTTTAGGTTCCTTGTTAATAACGGTAACATGTTGCATAGGCATGTTTTTGATTCATCGTAAACATAATTGATATTTTTAAGAATTTAATACATGTGTGATGCAACTTGTCATGAAATATTCAAACATAATTTTGAACATTGAATCATCATCACACAAGAAATGTAACATCAAAATGAAATGTAACATCAAAGAAAAGACTGCAGTTGTCGTCCCTATATTCTCTTGTGTATTTGCTAAAACATTTTACTGCAACCACTCTTGATTCATATTGTCAATGGTAAACTATCTGAAGTGGAAGAAACATAATGATTGAATTGTATTCTATTTTGCCTTACTGACAGGTTATACATTTGATTTTAAATTAAAATCCAGTGATTTTAAAAGTTTATTAGTTTTATTGTGAATAGTAGAAACTTGATTCAAGTCTATAACATTTACTAATAAGTTTAGTCACTTTTACAGTGCATATTTATTTTGTGTCAGTTTGTATTTTTGTAAATGTCAATTATTGTAATTTGTTTGGCTGGTCGTCTGCCAGTAATTAGCTAGTAGCTACAATTTCATATGAATGTATTCTATTGCATTGTTTTTGAGAACATACTGCCATTGTGTGCACTACATTTCCCACTTTTTAGTACCTGTTTGGACTGGCCTGGCCAGGACCGATTACAATCAAACTTCACACATTGGGACCTTGATGCATGTCATTTTGTTTTTCAGGTCAGATTTAAAATGGTCAACTGGTGGCCATTTTGTTTTAATGAATGTGGTTCTATTGCCATATCTCTGACATGCTGTGACTGATTATGTTCAAATTTAAAATAATCATTATACATCATCTCATAGATGTACAGATATATTGGTTTGGCTATCTGATTCAAAATGGCTGACTGGTGGCCATTTTGTTTTAATGATTGTGTTTCTAAAGCCATTTCTCTGACATACTTTGACTGATTATGTTCAATTTTTAGTCCCCGTTCAGGCGCAGCCTGAAAAGGGGACTTTATAATTCAGGTTATGTCCATTTTTCCCGTCCCCAACATTTTCTCAGAAATTCTACAGCAGATATCAGTGAAACTTGGCAGGTTGATGAACAAGTCTCTGCTGAGTATGCACGTAATTTTTTTTCCAGATCTGAAAATCCCAAGTGGGTCTTTTTCACGATTTTCATCAAAAATTACCTCTCCCGGCAACATTGACAGAACGTCTGCGCATGCTCAGAATAAATAAATTAACATTTTTTTGCTATTTTCGCTGAAGGAATGTTTCAGTTAAAATACAATCCAGCGAATATACCCTTTTCTTATATTTTACAGTCAACTTGTCAAAAATCAATGAAAATAAATTCATACAAAACACCCAGAAAAAGTCTTTTCAGCGAATGGTAATTCCAGCTGAAATAAAATATTTTACAGTAGATTAGATCTGTGAGTAACGCTGCTGTTATTACGGCACGTGATTTCTCCATTGCGTGCAATTTATTATAGTACTGTTTATACATGTATTCTGTTCGGCTCAATGGTCTCATTCACAAGTTACTAGAAGAACTAGTAACCTAATTTGATTTCAGAACTTCAAGAA